AAGAAAGAAAGAAAGAAAAAAAAAAAAAACGGATTTTTGGGCCCTTCCTCAGACCTACTGAAGTAGAAGCTCTGGGAGTATATCAGTAATAAGATTGTGTTTCCAGGTACGTCTTGCCACAATCATAAATAAGACTAGTGTTTCCAACTGAACTAGGCAAACCTTAGCATGTTCGTGGGGAAACCGCAGGGAGCATTTAATCAGCTCTTTTAAACATGTTGCCCATAGGCTGCAGAAACGCAGCTGCGTCTCAGGATTAGAAAGTGGAGCTGCAACCGGAGGCGCCTCCGGGCCACACTTTCCCCTCCCCTCGCCCACTCGACCCCCACCCCACCGTTGCCACAGTCCCACAGTTCCCCATTCCAGAGGGAATTCCAGGGCGGAATACACATTCCTGTTTTAAAAGAAGCGCCTCTAAATCTTTCTCCTTGCACCTAAGACGATGGGGGAAAGACAAGGACAGGAGTGGAGGTTCCAGGGTTCAGGGATGCCTGGAGATCTCCAGGTCCCAGGCTGGGCGGCCTGGGCGCACGGAGAGGGGCGCGTTGTGGAGCCTTCCTTGCCAAGGCGCTGCTCGTCCTGGGGCCTCGGTTTGCCATCTGTGCAATGGGGTTGGCAGCGCCTTTGCAGGGACGCGGCGAACTCGAGCACCGGCAAGCCGACTCGAACTCAAAGGGCTTCAGGGTGTAGACAATCGAGGGGCTCCGGGTCGGCTAGCTCCGAAGCCGGGAGAGAGGGAAGGGCGCACGGCAGCCTAGGGGCCTCCCTTCCCTCCACCCGACGGGCGAGTGACGAGGGGCGAGGGTCTCATCTGCAGGTTGCTCAGTTGAGTTCTGGGGGTCCTGGCCCGGGTGTGAGGCCTCCGGAAGCAGGGACGGGGATGCCGTGGTCTCCCCGAGCTCGAGGACGTGCGGAGGGCAAGATCCCAGGACCCTCGCCCGGGAAGGAAACACGCCCTTATCCCAACCGGATTCCTCCGAGCAGAGCCAGATGCTGTCACCCCCGTTTTACAGCTGGGTAAATAGAAGCCCAGGAAGCCACAGCCAGCCGGGCTGGAGCCGTTTCGCTGACCTGGTCAGTGGCCCTGGGGAGCCTGGAGAACTGCGAGGGCTTTTAACCCGGCTGAGAAGAAGGTGAAGACCCCAGGCCTCCTCTCTCCCGCGAAGGAGCGCACACAGGTGTGAAGTCCCGCGCCTCGGACGCTCCGGGGTGGGGGCCGCCCCCGCCCTCTCGGAATCGCGCCTCGCGGACGCTCAGCCCGGCCCCAGGTCCGCCCCCTCCCGCCCCCAGGTCTCCTTTCTGGCCCCTCCGGTCCCCAGAGCGAACCAAACTCGCGGCAGCTTCTCCATCCCAGAGGAGACGCCAGACTCCAGATTCCCACCTCCGAGAGCCCCGCCCTGGAACGCGCAGGGGGGCGGCGGCAGGGAAGGGTAGGGGCGAAGCTCCTCTGACCAAGAGGGACGCCGACACGGGGCGCCCCGCCCGAGAGGGGTTAACCGCACCCCACTGGACCATCTCCCCTCCCCCCGGAGCCACCTCCAGCCGCCGCCTCTGCGCGCGTGTGGCCGCCCGTCTGCGTCAGCGCTGGGGAGACACGGGACTGGCCGCCCGCGCCTGGCGGGGCTATTTAAGAGGCAGCGCCCGCTCGTTTGCCCTGAACTTGGCTCGGCGGCCGGGCTGCTCCGGTGGGAAACGCCAGGCCAGCTGCGCCCTGATCCAGAAGGTAGGTCCCTCGGTTCGTCGGCGGGGGGGCCCAGCGGCCTGTGTCTGAAGGATGCTGTTTCAGCTGCGCGCCCGTTTCCATCCGGCTTTTCTGTTTTCTGCGTCTTCCCTCCGAGAGCTCCAGGGACATTTCTTAAAGTCAGAAATCAGGGCTCTGGATCTAAAAGTGAGGTCTGGGTGGGCAGAGCTGCTTCAGAGCCTTTCACGAGCCCGCATCGATCTTTTGCAAGTAAGGGACGAACTACCATTTGCTGGGGTTCGCACGCAGATTGATGCTTGCCGTCTGTTAACACAGCGGTGCAGGGGACTTTGCAGTCTTTTCCAGTAAAATATCAGAGGGTTTTAAGACTTAAATTCATTCGGGGCTTTCCGGATGGAAACTTGCGGGTGTTTTATCCGCCAGCATTCTAAAATGCAGCGGGGCTTTGGAAGCCCGAATGCTGGGCACACAACTGTGATTTTAAAACCTGCCTATGTTTTGCGTAGTGGTTTACTGCCATTTCCCACGTACACTTTGAGGAAACTTTATAAATACGGGTTTTATTTCTTGCTCCTACATTTTAAACTGTGCTGCGCTTTCTCACCACTTGCTGCATTTCCATGCTGAAAGCTTGTTAGCCATCTGGAAAGATGCTTCCTTTCGCCAGTGTTCTCGTTTCTCCCACGGAGTCTTCCCTTTAGGACTTTTTTTTCCACACTATTTTTAATCTCTTGGGGTTTTATTTTTCGTCTTTCAGTTAGAAGAGAGGCACTCTACAAACACTTCCTCAAACTTTAGAAAAGCAGAAAACATTCCTCCTGCTGAACACGGCAGAAAACAGGGTCTCTGGACGCGGAGTTCCCAAAGACCAGCCAGATGCGCCTGGGCGCGCGCGCTACGGCTGGGGTCCGCGTTTGGCTGGCCCGCGTGCTTGCGCCGGCCTGGCGGGTCCGGAGCGCCTGTGTTGGTCCTGAGCCGGCTTCTGGGTGCCCGGCAGCCGCAGGAAATCTCGGACGCCCAGCCTTTCCGTTAACGCCTCCCCCGCCTTTGCTCCCTGCAGCCATGAACCCCGGAGTGGGCCTGTGCGTGCTGATGGCGGTCCTGGCTGCTGGCGCCCTGACGCAGCCGGTGCCTCCCGGAGAACCCGCGGGTTCCGGGCTGCAGCGGGCAGAGGAGGCGCCCCGAAGGCAGCTGAGGGCCGTGCAGAGAACGGACGGCGAGTCCCGAGCGCACCTGGGCGCGCTGCTGGCAAGATACATCCAGCAGGCCCGGAAGGGTAAGAATGCGCCTCCCCATCCCTCACCTCTGCCCTCCTTCCCAGGCTCCATGCGGACCCTCTTCTCCAGTGCCGGCCTGATGGAGGTAACCTCTCGGTAGGAACCAAGCAACGTGGTTTCTGGCCGTCCTTTGTAGCAATCTGAGAAGGGGTACGGAGGACTTGATTTATAAGTAAGGGAACCTTCTTTAAAAGCTTTCTTTGAACTAATTTTTAGCACAGTGTTGCTGATTAAGTTCAACACCATTTTACCAAGCCAATAAAAGATAATTATTGAACCCGAGGAAAGGGTTCCCAGATACACTAAAAGCCCTCTACTGAAAACGCAAAGGACCTGGGAGCCACCCGGATACCAACCCTTGGAAATCCTCTAGCAGGAAGGGGTCAGTGCTGAGAATGCCTGAGGTCTGGCTACAACCGTTTTAAAAAGCAATGACAGTGTGTCCATTTCCGCCAAAGCGCGTCACAGAAGGAAAGAACCAGCAGCAGTTTTGTGTTCTTCTTGCAATGACTTACAAATGAGAGCGATATTTGTTTTTCCTTTAGTGTTACAGAGATGGTCTCAGTTGTAGCAAGAGCAGAGCAAGTCGGTTTCCTCAGCATCAAAGCGTTTCTCCAGGAATAAGGTGATTCAGCAGCTCACTAGCTGAGTGGCACGCAGGCAGTCCTGACCTGAGGAGAGCTTTCCCCTAAGCTTCGTGCAATTCTTTGTATGATTCAGAGGGAGGCCCTCTTGTGACCCACAGGAATCATGCTTTGGATTGGGGTAGCTTTTTTCTCTAACTTCATCCCCAGTGACAGTAATGATGGACACTGTCTGTGGAACAGTGTACTGAACAGTACAAACACAGATGGACGTTAGAAGAATTCAGCAGGCCAGGCGCAGTGGCTCACACCTGTCATCCCAGCACTTTGGGAGGCTGAGGCAGGTGGATCACCTGAGGTCAGGAGTTCAAGACCAGCCTGACCAACATGGTGAAACCCCATCTCTACTAAAAATACAAAATTAGCTGGGCATGGTAGCGCATGCTTGTACTTCAAGCTATGTGGGAGGCTGAGGCAGGAGAATCGCTTGAGCCCAGGAGGTGGAGGTTGCAGTGAGCTGAAATTGCACCATTACACTCCAGCCTGGGCAACAAGAATGAAACTCCGTCTCAAAAAAAAAAAATGAATTCAGCAAACATTGCTGGAAGGGATGTGGGAGGTGTGTTGCCTTTTCCATGAAGCTCTCTTACCCAACTTGTGTGCCAGGGCCTGGATTTGAACCTTAACCCCTGGCTTGGCCAGAGAAGGTTAAGATGAAGAGCTCAGCTCTGCAGAGTTCTCCTGTGGATTCACATGAAGGGAAGATGGGAGCTCTTTGACCAAAGGGCTTCGGGAGGAAAGAACAAATCAGTGATTGGTTGTATTTCTTCCCATCTTTGGGAAATCGCCCCAGCCACCACCTTCTGTTTTGCTTTCCTGCTAATTAAATTGAAAAAGTTTGGAATACTAATCAGGTAGAGAAAGTCTGGAAGCTTTTGGGCTACTGCTGATCCTCTGCCTGAAAATAATTTAGTATCTGTCCCCAGACACGGGCTGAATTTCTGCCAGAACAGTCTGAAATATCCTAGGCTTTTCATCGATCTGTGGATCTGGAACTCCCCTCCCCCAGTTTAGGAAAGACCCTGTTTTTCTTCTGCAAAGGCTGAGGATATCTGCAGAAAGGCCCGAAATGTGTCAAATTGACTCTTGGTTCCAAAATTATTCTAGTGAAAAAAAAAAAGGAAAGCTTATTACCAAATTATTTTCTAGAACCAACACTAGACAATGGCTCTTAGAGCATAAATCTTAGCTGGAAAGTTCTTTCTAGTCCCTCTTCTCAGCCCCCTCTCCCTTTGCCTTCAGCCAATTGTGCCAAGCAAACCCAGGAGGGAACAGCAATCACTTGGAGATTTAGATGCCAATACCCAGGATCAATGCTGGCTGAAAAACAACCAGACTCTTCTATGTGACAAACACGAGCTGGGAATAAATACTTCCACATATAGATGCTGCACAGCTTCTTTGAGTATTTTACATATTTTGAAATCATATCAGATTTTTGCTCCACTATGAATGTATCAGGCTTAAAAGTTCTAAACAAGACAATGCATTCTTTGAGCAGTGCTTAAGAGTTTATCATTAGGAAATGTCTGCAGTGCTTTCAATGGCCCAAGAAGAAGCAATTCTATTGGAGGGCAGTGGGTAAAGCCACCTAGAGGCATTGAGTGTACACCCGCCCCGTGCCCAGCAGAGCTTCAGCGCCACATTTACACTGCCTCTCACAGCACAGCAGTCCTGCACAGTGAGTGTACTGCAGCCGTTTTGCCAGCTTGGAAGCTGGGGCTCTAGAAGCCTGGGTAAACTGCACGTGGTTGCACATCTATGCAACAGCAGGGCTGAGACTCTGTCCAGTCCTGCTCCCCCCAGGAGGGCCTGGAAGACCTCTGTGCTGCCTATCCCACATTTTAAAGTGTAAAAGAGCTAAGCCCTTCAGTTGTAGCAAGAGCCGAGCAAGTCACTGTTTTCTCAGCACCAAAGCCTTTCTCCAGGAATAAGGTGATCCAGCACTCACTAGCTGAGTGGCACGCAGACGGCCCTGTCCTGAGGCTTGCTTTCCCCTAAGCTTCCTGCACTTCTTCGTGTGATTCGGAGGGAGGTCCGCTCATGTCTTGCGGCCCAGAAGGATCAGGCTTGATCAATTCCATACATCAGATGCAAACCCCTACTCTATGTCAGCACTGGGAAAGCGAGTGAGGACCCTGGTAAATACATGTGAGGTGAGAACAGAACTGTATGTGGAACGGGTAAGTCGGGGTACGAGAGAAATACAGCTTCCACGGCCGAACTCGGTGCCCCCACCGTTAACTAGGCTGCTTGCTCGCATTGAAGCTGTCACTTTGCTTCCATCAGATCCAAATGTGGGTGGTGCCCAGGCCTTAAGAGTGGGCACACATCATCACAGCAGGCGGGAGGACAGGTCATATTTCCATGTGACTGTGTACAGGTAACTGGGTCTGTAGGTTTTGCTGAACTCAGGGACTAATACTTCACCTGAATGATGAACACTAAATAGCAGGGGCTGTTTTTCTTACATAGGCTGAGGGTATCTGCAGAGAGGCCTGAAGTGTGCTGACTTGACACTTGGTTCCAAAACTGGAAAGCGTTGGGGTTGGGGAGAGGCAGGATGGGGACGCCGTCCTGTGTTGTTTCTGTTTTAAATTCGATTTGCTTAGTTTTACGACCCAGGTTAACTGCCTTTGCATTTTCGTTTATTAATAAATAAGCCCCAGTCTCACTCCACTCAGCCTGTGGGCAAGAGCTGGCAAGGGCAGCCTCATGCAGAAGGGTCACAGGCCAGCGTCACAGGAGGTGGGGACACAGTGGGAGCCCTTGAGTTGGCCTGGGCTTTGTCCACTGAGGTTTCTGAAGGGCCTCTCCGAAGCCTGAGCTTGCACAGGAGAAGGTGTTCTGCTGATGTCATTCCGCAGGAGGCCACCGTCTGTGAACTTTGAGCTAGGACTGTGTCTCCTGCCTCCAAAGAAACTGCCTCTTCATGTCCCTGCTTGCTCAGTGTGAGCTCTACAAAAGGATCACACTGTTCCTGAAGACTTAACTTCTATGCCAAAGGGCCCAATTCAGATTCAGTTATCGTATTTTGGTCAAAATTGCTGATTTAAATCACCTCTGTTATCACCTCTCTCCTGCCCTTCTTTGAGTATTACTGAGCTGGCAAGATTTTAATCTGACAATCTTTTTCTGACTATCATTTTAAAATGATATTGATTTATCATTAAAAATAAAACAATCATCTTTTCAAAGTACTTATTGATAAATGACAAAAAACCTTCTGAATAAAACTTTCAAATTCATATTTTTAAAGAGTATTTACATAGCAAAGGGACTTTATTTTATTATTTATTTATTTTGACACAGAGTCTTGCTCTGTTGCCCAGGCTGGAGCGCAGTGGTGAATCTCAGCTCACTGCCACCTCTGCCTTCCGAGTTCAAGCAGTTCTCTGTCTCAGCCTCTCGAGTAGCTGGGATTACAGGTGCCTTCCACTGGGCTTGGCTAATTTTTGTATTTTTAGAAGAGACAAGGTTTCACTGTCTTGGCCAGACTGGTCTTGAACTCCTGATCTTGTGATTCACCTGCCTCAGCCTCCCAAAGTGCTGGGATTACAGGCTTGAGCCACTGCACCCAGCCTATTTTTTATTTATTATTACACTTTAAGGTCTGGGATACATGTGCAGAACATGTAGGTTTGTTACTTAGGTATACATGTGCCATAGTGGTTTGCTGCACCCATCAACCCGTCATCTACATTAGGTATTTCTCCTAATGTTGTCCCTCCCCTAGCCCCCCACTCCCCAACGGGCCCTGGTGTGTGATGTTCCCCACCCTGTGTCCATGTGTTCTCATGGTTCTACCCCCACTTATGAGTGAGAACATGCAGTGTTTGGTTTTCTATTCCTGTGTTAGTTTGCTGAGAATGATGGTTTCCAGCTTCATCCATGTCCCTGCAAAGGACATGAACTCATCCTTTTTATGGCTGCATAGTATTCCATGGTGTATATGTGCCACATTTTCTTTATCTAGTCTATCACTGATGGATATTTGGGTTGGTTCCAAGTCTTTGCTATTGTGAAGAGTGCTGCAGTAAATGTGTATTTATAGCAGGATGATTTGTACTCCTTTGGGTGTGTACCCAGTAATGGGATTGCTGGGTCAAATGGTATTTCTGGTTTTAGATCCTTGAGGAATTGCAACACTGTCTTCCACAATGGTTGAACTAGTTTACACTCCCACCAACGATTTTATTTTAACCATTCCAACATCTATTGTTAATTGTGCTACCTTAAAAACAAGAGCTCTCCAGGAGTCAGGTATGTTAATGGACATTAACGGCTGAATTTAGGAACATAAGCACTGGGAAATCTTTGCTTGGTTTCAGCGGAGGCCGTGTATAGGAGGAAAACAACCACCCACAAAACAGAAGAAAAGGTAGGGAGACTCAGGAAAATCTAGGCAAGTCCCTAGCCTGCAAGGCTGGAGAAAATGAGTCCATCTAAATACTTGCAGAACGCAAAGCACACCCCTAACTTGTAAACAGTGTCCTCTCTGCAGTTACACAGACATAGGTCCTTCTCCTCCCTCAGATTTTGGTCCATCAACTCCACTACTTTGATAGCTCTTTGATACCTTGAAAGTGGGTGTCTGTTAAATTGTGTCTGGCTTTTTCCATTGCTCTCCTTCACAAATTGAACTAGAGATGCTCTTAGATGTAATGTCCCTGTCTGCTTCCTCCCCGCCCCTTGCAGCTCCTTCTGGACGAGCGTCCGTCGTTAAGAACCTACAGAACCTGGACCCCAGCCACAGGATAAGTGACCGGGACTACATGGGCTGGATGGATTTTGGCCGGCGCAGTGCCGAGGAGTATGAATACCCCTCCTAGATGACCCGGCCTCCATCAGCCCAACGGGAAGCAAACTCCCACCCCAGAGGAGGCAGAATAAGAAAACAACCCCACTCATAACTCATTGTCTGTGGAGCCTGACATTGTATGTATCTATTTATTAAGCTCTCAGTGTGAAAAATGTGTCTGTAAGATTTTCCAGTGCAGCCACACACCTCAGCAGAATTGTGCAAATGGAAGACAAAATGTTTTCTTCATCTGTGACTCCTGGTCTGAAAATGTTGTTACGCTATTAAAGTGATTTCATTCTGCCCTGTCCTTCCCTGCGTCCACTGAGGGTAAAGGGCTCCATTTGGTCCTCAGAACATGCAAGGAGGGAAGCCTGATAGACGCTACATCAGGACGAATCCTTGTAGTAGATAACCCCAGAAACGGCTTGGGAAATGCAGCTCAGGCCTGGAGCTGACTTTGCTGCAGGCCGGGTGGACAGTGAAAGGGCCATCTTTAGGCAGCTCCAGACCCCAGGCCTGGCCACACTGACCCCCGACCTTGTTTGCCAGTCCGACTCCCACCAGGGTTTCCTTGGGGTTCACTTGGCCTTTAAACAAGTTACATGCAGTAGCTGGCAGTGGTTGGGTACATTTGATCCCCCATGGCTCTGCGGCACAGAGGTTATCATCCCTCCTTTACAGACGAGGAAGCAGGTTCTAAGGAGTGAAGGTGGCTGACCCATATGCCCCTTCACTTCTGTTTCACTTCAGTGCTAATGAGATTCAGACAGGAGGGCGTAGGTTCCTGGGCTGGCAGGTCCTTCATCACTGTAGTACTTCTCCAGCTGAGTGCACAGGAATCAGCCCTCGGGGAATCTGTTAAACTGCACGTTCTGATTCAGCAAGTCTGGGCGGGAGCCTGAGCAAGCTCCCAGGTGACATCAGTGCCGCTGGTTGTGGAGAAGAGCCTGTAATTGCTTTTCCTTGAGCCCCGCTGCGTGTCGGAGTTGGTGGGACTCCAAAATGCTGGGGGGAAGCTGGTAGTTACACAGAACAGAAGCCAATCTGTCTGTGGGTTCTCTGCAGGAATCAGCGAGGGGAACTGGTCCAAAGCAACCCCCAGGGATGATCCAGTCCCCACCACCCACAGTGCAGCCTTCCTGTGCCTCCTGGAGGCCTCTGAGACCCTCCCATCCTCATCCAGCAGAGGCCCCGGGTGCCCAGGGCAGCAGAACCTGGCAGCCCCCAAGGGAAAGACATTGAAAACAATATGGCAAATCTAAAACCTTACCCAGCCCAGCGCCACCCTTTTTAGTGTTGGGGATAGGACACTGGGAGGGAGCCCCAGGAAGACTTGTTCGGTACAATTCTTTCACTTGAGCTGAAGCTGGGATTCAGTGTAAAACTTACTCCAAATACGTGACACCATGTTAGTCCCTCCTGAGGTACGTCTCATTCAGTCCCTCCAATTGTTCTCCAAGACTGAGGACTGCCTCATAGCTTAGGTATCCAACCCCCATTCAGTCCAAAATACCCAGATGCCTCTTGCCTTGCAAAAATCACTAGTTTTATGGGTGTGTAGGGGTTATGTGCCCTTGTGTGTGTGTTGTGTGTGTGTGTGTGTGTGTGTGTGTGTCTGTGTACTGTTTATTGGGGATGGGGGATGAAAGAAGGACTTAAAATTTAATATAGAATCAGCAGTGGGGAATGGATGGTGAAAGTCTGACCTAAATTACTGATTTATGAATCATCAAGGAAGTGGGTGTTAAAATATCATTTTCAAAGGTAAAGTCATGACTCATACAGCACGAAATGAACATATGTCAAAGATATCATTTAACTCTTCAATTAATAAAGGAACCAGTAAGATGCCACAATCATTTCAGAGCAGAGTCTGCAGGAGAGACATGTATAGGTAGCCAGGAATGCCAACAGAGAGGAAACGGGTTCATATCCACAGGTCAGGAAAACGCACCATCTGGAATGATCTGTTATCCACAATGGAAGTTAGTTGTGTCATTAGAGGACAATGTTCACTTACGCTTCTGTAAGTTTTGTTTTGCTTTTTTGAGGCAGGGTCTCTGTTGCCCCGGCTAGAGTACAGTGGCACAATCACGGCTCACTGCAACTTCGGCCATCCAGGCTCAAGCCGTCCTCAAACCTCAGCCTCTCAAGTAGCTGACTCTGCAGGTGTGTGCACCACTCGTAGCTAATTTTTGTACTTTTTAGAGAGACGGGGTGTTGCCATGTTGCTCAGGCTGGTCTCAGACTCCTGAGCCCGAGCAATCCACCCACCTTGGCCTTGCAAAGTGCTGGGATTACAGGCGTGAGCCACCGCACTTAAGTTTTGTAAGCAGGAATTGTTGGCATTTCTCTTAGTTTTCTAGGGATTATAAATCACCGAGTCAAAGACACAGACCCTGGCCCCAGCAGATGACTGCCCAGCGTTCCACTGAAAGGACACCCAGTCGTCCCCTCTGCCCACTTCCAAGCCTTTCAAAGCTTTTTCTAATTGAGGAAAGGGAAGGCAAAGAAGGACCCCGGCCTCCCTTGCGTGCTGTCCAGTCTCACAAGATTCAGCCCAGGAAACAGTCCCATTCCTGTGAGCGAGTCATGATTCCACTCCTCCAGGAGGAAGCAGGAGCTAAGTGGCTTGCAGGTTCACATGCTGCCCACAAGTGGCAGTGCCAAGACGGAAGCAGCTGGCTCTGGAACTTCTCTGTGAAAGGACTTAGAGCCACCGTCTATCAGAGAAGGGCCTCTGAGCCGTGTCTGGAAGCCACACCTATACAATGAAGACGTGGAATCAGCATGTGTGCTCATGTGTGGAGTCTTGGTGGGGGCCTGATGGAGCTTGCTGGGCAGGGGAGGCAGAGAGCTAAAGACCTGTTTCCCTAATGCTTTCAGTGCCATGCTGGATTTAGGGCAGCACCTTCTAACTGCAGAGGCCCTGCTCTGACCTCTGTTCCACCTGCTGTTGCAGGGTCCCTGGAACCAGGACATGAACTCAGGCCTTCATCAGTCCTTTCTCAGGGGATCACATCAGGCTCCTGCAACTAGGCTGAGCAACTCACACAGAGAAGCCAGCCGCTCCTAACCTCCGCTTTAAAGAGTCCTGAACTCACACAACCACAAAGCCATGACCTCCTCCTCCTCCTCCACCCAGCTGTGTGATCCCAGGCAAGCCCATGCCCAGCCTTTTTCCCCTCTATCCGTCCTCCCCTCGCTGACCCCCCTTTTCCTGCTAGCTGTCTTTCTGGAATCCCTTGGGACTGCAGGAACTCCACGCAGGCCACACCCTCTGCAGCTACTCCTGCTGTTGCGTCCTCAGCTCTGCCGATTAAGGGTGCTTGGAAGTTTAATTTTTGTTGATCCACTGGAATTTAAAAGCTGGAGAGAGCAATGGCTATGACTTTAGCTCAGCCCACACCCTATCCTGTCCCCAAGGCTGGAGTGCAGTGGCACAATCTCAGCTCACTGCAACCTTTGCCTCCTGGGTTCAAGTGATTCTGCTGCCTCGGCCTCCCGAGAAGCTGGGATTGCAGGCGCCTGCCATCACGCCTGGATTTTTTTTTTTTTTTAGAGACAGGGTTTCACCATGTTGGTCAGGCTGGTCTCGAACTTCTGACCTCAGGCGATCTGCCAGCCTTGGCTTCCCAAAGTGCTGGGATTACAGGCATGAGCCCTGCGCCCGGCCACTCCCATTTTACAGGTAAACTTGCCCAAGATCACACAACGAATGAGTGACAGAGTTGCCCGGTAGTCCCTGCGTTTGCTGATACCTCCAGACCTTTGCTTAGGAGATCTGACCCGCAATTGCTAACATCTCCGTATAGACAGCAGCCAGTGGGTGGACAGAATTCACTCTCCCAAGATCTGCGTCACCAAAACCAGGCTGTAAGACGTCTGCCCCACAAAGGACGGAATGAACCCAAATGGAATCTTTGCTCTCAGGCTCAGCCAAACCCAGGTAAAAGGAAAGCAGGGTGGAAGAACGTCTGTGTTCATTCTTTTAACACAGAACCACAAAAACCACGCCCCCCCCCACCTTTTTCTGTTGACTTTGGTTTGAAGAGCCAAAGGAAAGAATCCTGATCACTTTGCTGGATTTCCGGGGACTGTGAATATTTTCTTTTCAGCTCCTTTGAATTATTGCTAGTCCTGAAACTAAATAAAGCAGAAGTGAAGCAGAAAGAGAGAAAATCGTCGCCTCGCTAATTTCCCCTGGGTTCTAGGTTCTGAAAACATCTATCACCAGATATTAAAATGATCAGTTTGTGGCTGCCTCCTGCTCTGATCTATATCTTCCTGCAGAACCAAGATCAGGGGGTTCCAGATGAGAGAGCACCTGCCCTGGACTCCGCACCATCCCCCAGGCCCACGCCGGACAGACCCCCCCGGAACGCTCATCATCACCCCACCTCCCTGCCTTCGCCTCCTCCCCGCCCTCCTCCCTGCTCTCACTCCAGCCTCACTGCATTCTTTACTCTTCCCTGAAAACACTAAACTCACTCCTCACTCAGAGCCTTTTCACCGCCATCCCCTCTGTCCGGCTTACTCTCCCTCCGAAAGCATGGCTGGATTCTTAGCTCATTCAACCCCAAAATTACCTGCTCAAATAGGTGCTCCTGACCATCCCCTCTGAAAAGGCTTCTCTGAACTGGGCACAATGGCCCATGCCTAAGGTCCTAGCTACTCAGGAGACTGAGGCGGAAGGATCACTTGAGCCATGAAGTGCAAGTCCAACCTTGGGTAACCAACATATGGAGACATTATTTCAAAAAAAAGAAAAAAGATTCTAAAGAAAAAAAATTTCCTCCATTACCCTCTCTCCCCTTCCCTTCCCTGCTTTGCTTTTCTTCACACTTCTTTTCTTGGAATTACATTGTATATGTATTTAGTCATTGATTCTGTCTCAGCAACGAATACCGAACGCCGATGTTCGTATTCGATTAGGGCAGGGAGTTTTGCCTGCTGTGTTTCCTGCTATATTTCTAACTTCTACTACAGGGTTGGCACATAGTAGTTACTCAGCAAATATTCCCTGAATTAATTAATTCATTCATTAATCAGGAAGGGGAAAATGTGTCAGGATCCCTGCTACTCAGGTCACAGATTGGTGTTAGAGGCAGTTTCATCAGACATTTGCTTTAAAAATCAGAGAAGTAAAGCAGGCTCAGTGACACAGCCAAGTGCCCCCAAGGTAGGCATACACTGGAAAACAGAGCACTCACACAGAGATGGCGGGCCGTGCTCCCAGCATCCGCGGAGAGTGGTGGCATGCACCGAAGTACACCCACCCCAAACACCCACACATTCACACACATG